ACATAGGACAGACAGAGTGCACGAATGTGGACGGTGAGGAAACTCATGCCGAGGAGCCCTGGAGTCTCGTGAGCACCGTGAGCGTTCACGATCGCGATAGTCGGCCTCGTCGTCGCGATGCAGCGCCTGAGCGGTCTGAGATCAGGCTTGACAGAGCCAATGACTGCACCACACAGCAGCTAACCTAAACATGACAGGAGGTTGTCACTACGCACTCACCAGATCTGTAGTCCCTGTGGTATTTACTGGTAGACTGTACGTATGAAACTCGATGGATACCTAGGACAAACAGAGTGCACGAACCCCGACGGCGGAGAAACTCGCGCCAAGGAGCTCTGGAGTTTCGTGAACGCTCCCGACCGCGATAGTCGCGGTAGTCGCGAGAGTCAGTCAATGGAACATCGTCATCTCGGCGCTGCACCTGAGCGCAATGCCACTATGGCGCAGCTTCTGTGGCATCTTTACTGGTAGACTGCACAGTTAAGAATGACTTCACATGGAGGCCCGCTACATAGTTTTTACTTTTGGCACACACAGCTAATGAAAGAAACATGAACCAAACAAGTAGCGGTGCCAAAGTGTAAGAGGCGTCACAAGCGCTGCACCGTTTTCGATCGAGCTCCGAGTTTCGAGCCGCCATGCGTGCTACAAAAGACATGTAGCAAGTCAGCCTTGGATAGGGTCTACGTTGGAATCTGTCGATGTTTGCTTGCGCGGATCTAGCGCAGGGCCAGCGCGCGGCCAGCGCATTTTTCAGCCGGCCACTTTTCGAACACCTGACGACAATCTGAACATTTCCTAAGGCAAACATTAGCCCAAATCTACCGCAAACCTAGCGCCCAGCTGCAGAATAGGTGTGTTTAGCCGGGGGCCCGCTGGACAATACCATGGAAAAAACAACATCACAAGCTACCTTCGACCCCTCTGTTTTTTATTGTAGACTTTTGGCCGAAGTCCACATAGAGTGTGCGAACCTCGCGGTGAAGAAACTCAGGCCAGGGAGCTCCGGGTCGCGAACGGTCGCGATCGCGATCGTCAACCAATGGAAGGTCATCATCTCGGCGCTGCGCCTGACCGGTCTGATACTAGGTTTTGCGGAGCTTGACCGCATAACACAGCAGCTAACTCGAACAGGACACGTCAATAGAAAAACAAGACGAAGCCCACGAGCCCGAACACAAGCACGTTCTCGTTGAAGGTTCACTGTTTTTCGTTTGCGCATGTAGTGTTACCATGTAGTGTTACAAGGGACCAGAGATGGCCAAACTTCGAATACCGTCCACGTCCCTCCCCACCGCTCGACTTGCAGCGAGCAACAGTAGCCTTGTCTTCGTCAAACCGCGCATCTCGCTCCTGGGCGATTGGGTCGAGCATCCTCTGCCCCACTCCAAAAGCATAACCACATGGATGCCCAAATCAATGGAGGTAAAGTCGCTCAACCGAGATGAAACAGTGGGAGTGTTGTGATATACCATGGGTTCACCTGTCAGAAACGTGTTCTGTCCGGGGAGTCATTGCATTGCGAGCGACTGCGCGCTCCTCGGCCGGCGAGTGGTCACGGTCATCTCCATGACGCGCCTGAACAAGTGGGTATCAGAAACCACCAAAAAGGTACCAAGCTTTCGATCTCAATCTTTTGTCGAGCCCCTTGCCGAGAACGAGCCGACGAGGCGCGCACACACGGCCATGATCCGACAATGTGCGTGCATCATGATCCGCCTCACGCCCCTCCTTCTCACGTTGCTCGACTTCCATCATGTCTTCCAGGGCGTCCAGGAGGTCATCCTGCGATGTGGCCGGCGTACGCGGCGTATATGACAAGGCCACAATCGAGGTTCTCAACTCTTTCTGGGCTGATGCATGTCTGGATGGCGCAAAGTGTCCAGCGAGCCATATACCACCCCGAAGGTACATGGATGGAAGGTGCAAGAATATGCTTGGAAGGAACGCATGGCTTGCTATTGTAACGTTTGGATGACATTGAACAAAACATAAAGTCAAGAAGGACACGTCCAAAAGGAAACGAACGATCCACAAAGCACGACAAATGGCCGCCGCGGTCGTGCGGCCTTCTTCGGATGCTTCGCACGGCAGTGCTGGTAGAGCGGCCATACGCCAGCAGCGCCGCGCCGTCGGCAGCAAGGGCACGTGCCATGATCGACGAAGTGCCACAGCGACGTCATAGTCAGCCGAAACGCCGCTTTGAATGGGAGCGAGCAAGGTTCTTCTCTGGGAGCAATGCACGTCAGGCGCAACTTAAGATGCTGGAATTTGCGGCTTGCAAATCTCCCACAAACAAAGGAGTGCTGACCAGACCGCTTTCGGGAGGCTTCGACCAACAAGCCAAAAAGCAAGACCAGCAGTATTATTAACCCTGAAAGGCACCACCTCAGTGTGGGTCGCTGGATCTGAGAGCTTGGTGTCAAATCTTAAGCTGATTTGCTTTGTTTCTGTCTACTTGCCAACCAGTAGCCTGTGCTTTCTAAAGCGTCTTGACTCAACTTCCCCTTTTCGACCCAATGCAAATAAAGTTTTGCAGCATGCATTCTCTGAACTTGGGGTATGCACTGTGGCTTGCTGGTGGAGCTATCATTTACCTGTCCAATGTGCACCATCTCTGGGGGGGAGATGTCCGGGATGAAGCCGAACGTTTGCTTGATGCATGGACTGACTTCAATACATGGACAAAACAAACGAAAACTCAGTCCTTTGATTGCACCTTTTGGGAATCATTCGTTTGACATCACAAATGCTTCTATCGCTTACCACCTCAGCTCCTTGGGGAGGGTGAAAGTTCGAGATTGTGATTTGCAAACTTTTAGGGTGTCTTGAGGCAGGCTCGAAGGTGCAAAAATACTGTAATTTACAATAAAAAGTTGCTTTGGGTGGGTTCTTCTGTGCTCTGTCTGTCTTCTAGTGGGCCTCGGTGTCAAAAATCTTAAGTTGATTAGCTTTGTTTCTGTCTCTTCTGTGCTCTTTCCGTCTTCTTGTGGGCCTTGGTGTCAGAAAACTCTCAGAAAACTCTCATTTTAAGTTGATTTGCTTTGTGTCTGTCTCTTCTGTGCTCTTTCTGTCTTTTTGTGGGCCTTGGTGTCAGAAAACTCTCATTTTAAGTTGATTTGCTTTGTTTCTGTCTCTTCTGTGCTCTTTCTGTCTTCTTGTGGGCCTTGGTGTCAGAAAACTCTCATCTTAAGTTGATTTGCTTTGTTTCTGTCTCTTCTGTGCTCTTTCTGTCTTCTTGTGGGCCTTGGTGTCAGAAAACCCTCATCTTAAGTTGATTTGCTTTGTTTCTGTCTCTTCTGTGCTCTTTCTGTCTTCTTGTGGGCCTTGGTGTCAAAAACTCTCATCTTAAGTTGATTTGCTTTGTTTCTGTCTCTTCTGTGCTCTTTCTGTCTTCTTGTGGG